AGCAGGGAGTGGCAGGGAAGGGCACGGGTGGAAGCCCCGGCTCAGCCAGGAGTGAGGGAGAGAAGGGGCCTGAGTGGGGACGGGAGGAAGTGGGAAGGGGAGGTCCGCAGGACTGGTGAGGGGCGAGCGGCAGCCGGGACCTGGCTCTGGGACCAGGGTGGGCACCACGGTGGGCACCAACCACGGTGGGAAGACTGAGGCGACAGTGAYGTCAGATGCCCAAGGACCTTCTGGTGGAAATGTGGGTAGGGAGGTGGGTGTGAGCCCGGGCACCAGGCACAGGCGCTACTGTCATCAGCACGGGGCGGGGGGACCACGAAGGGAAGAGGGCAGGCAGAGCAGAGGCCACAGACAGAGCCCGGGGGCTGCCAGAGGCTCAGGGGCTGGCGAACAGGAGGAAGCAGCCCAGGGGCTGGGAAGGAGCACCGTAGGCAGGAGGAGGAGCTGGAGSCCAGGCCCAAAGCCAGCCCCAGGCACAGCCTGCAGCCTGGCCCCTGCCCTCCGCCTTCCACTGCCCTTCCACAGCAGYCTCCCGAGTGGGCGGGCGTGACTCTGGTGCAGACTAGAGGCYAGCTGATGGGAGGCACAGGTAGAGGAACCTGCGGCCTTCAGAGCCAGCTGGGGACCGGGCTCCTGTGCACAAGGTGGGGGTGCACAGGGGTGGGGGCAGGGGCGGACGGCTTCTCAGGAGGGGGAGCTGGGATTGGAGCCCCCAGGGATGGAGATGGGAAGGGCCTGCGGGCAGCCAGCTCTGGGGGGCCCCGGGAGGCAGCTCCTACCAGAGTTGGTAGAAGAGGCCCTGGGAATGGCACGTGGCCTGTTGGGTTGGGGACTGCTGTGGAGCGTGGCCTGTTGGAGCAACCCTTGGGGCTGCTTGGAGACACGGCTGCAGGGTTGGCAGGAAGGAGCGAGARAGTCAGCAGGAGCCTTGAGTCCCCTGAGCCCAGAGCCTAGAGGGGCGCAGAGCCCCAGGAGCACGTGGGAGAGGAGGGCGCCCGAGCCAGAGCCCCAGGAGGGCGCCACAGACAACGAGAGCAGGAGGAGCCAGGAAGCCTGGCCCTGGGAGGTGGGCCCTGGGGCATGTGCAGGTCTGAACCTGCTGAGATGCAGGAGACGCAGGGGACCCTGAGGGTGGAGTGGGCGGCCCAGCCACAGGGTGCAGGAGAGGCAGGGTCTCAGGAGGACAGGTCAGAGGTGAAAGACTGGAGTCCGGGAGGTGGGAGGACCTTTTAAAGAGGCAGGTGCACCCCCCGCTCGGGGCCGGTGATGCCCTCCGAAGCAGGCACAAGGGGACCCCTGGAGACCTGAGGGCTGCCAGGGGCCAGGAGGCCCACCTTCTGTCCATCCTGCCAAGTTCACGGATCCCCAACAGCGGACCTTCCATCCACAGCCCATGCGACCCGCCCAGCAGCCCTGAGAACTAGGTCCTGCTGTCACCCACCTTGCAGATGAGGGAAACCCGGCTCAGAGGTAAAGTGTCTCCAGCCGACCGGTATGGGACACCAGAATTGGAACTCGCGGCCCCTGCCCCCACCCCTGACACTGAGGCCAGCCTGTCCCCGTGGTGCGAGGCGGCCTGGAGAGGCTCTCTCATGCCCAGCGGTTAGGGCAGCAGCCCGCCTTTTCCCTGGGCCCCACACCCTTGCCCTTCCCCACTCCTGGCCMTGCCTTGGTTTCCCCGTGAGCCAGGGACCCCAGAAATGAGAACAGTGAGCAGACTTATCAAGCGCTCAGTCTGCTGAACAGGCAGGCTCCAACGTACTCATGGGCTGTGTGTGTGGCAGGTATGCAGGTGACGTGTGCGGGTCCTGGGCCCCCCGCCGTGGCTCTCTGCTGTCCTCACCTCATTTTACAGGTGGGGATTTCAGTGCTTAAAGCCGAAGTGCTGTTGGCCCAAGCTGGGACGGAACCCAGAGCTGTCCAATCCTGGGCCCGTGTCCTAATACCCGCCTCTGCTCCTGCYCGGCAGGAGGGGAGCCACGTTGTCCTTTGTGATCCGTGAGGTTCCAAACTGGGGCTGGGAGAGTGGCCCTCGGGCCCCAGCGAAGGCTCCCGGCTGCCCTGTGGTCTGTGTTGGTCCTTGGCCACGAGCCAGGGGCCTCCTGACTAAAGGACCCGTCTCTCACCCCGACTGGGAGCCGCCCCGGGCAGCAGATGGGGTGGAATCGGGGCAGGGCCTTCTCTCCTGCCCAGCCTGGCCTCTGGGCAACCTCTGGCCCAGAATGAAAGGCTCCAGTAAGTGGCTTTCTGGACKTGAGCCCAGGCATGTGCTGGGGTAGGACGCGGGGGGAGACCAACCACAAAAAGGATTCAGGTGCCCAGAGCAGGGGCAGGACCTTGCCAACAAACCTCAGCAAGCCACTTCTCAGCCGGCCACCTCAAGTGTCCCCAGAAATGTCACAGGGCAGAGCTGGTCACGAGGAGCCCTGGCTGCCCTCCAGGCCTGGCCCGGGGAACAGAAGCCCTATGGCATCAAAACACAATCAGCCAGGGCAGGATCCAGAAATCAGATCCTCGGCCGCCCCTCGAAGAACCACCCGGAGACTTCTGGCCCCACTGGAGCTGACTGGCGGGCGGGGGGGACAGTCAGAGCCAACGCTGTCTGCAGAGCTCCCGAGGCCACGTGTGCACCAGGGAGCCTGCACGGGCTGGGCCTGGGCCGGGCCTCCTTCAGCCTCATTTTGGATGCATCCCCTTCCCTCCGTGGGGGCCTCAGCTGTAAGATGAAGGGGTGACATAGCAGGAGCTCAGAGTCCCTCCAGGGTAGCAGAGGACCCTTGCTGTACAGCTGGGGTGTGGCAGGCTGGGGCCAGGGGCTTGCCGCAGCCTTGCTTTGTCCCCSAGCTCCCTGTCCTGAGCCCCTCCAGAGGGTAGTCCTTCCCGGGACCTCRTGGGTCCCTGACACTTGTGGGGGAGGCGGCCGGGACAAACCAGGAAAGGCGCCCCTGTCTGGCTTTGGGGGGTTTCCTGCCCGTCCTGGAGGTGGGGGCGGCTGACCCTCTAGAAGTTCACTTCCACCTGATACCTAAGCCAGCTGAGAGGAGCCACGACTGCGCCCCGTCACCCACCCTCCCGGGGTCCCCTCCTGCCAGGGCCAGCCCCCCGTCCAGGGATGCATTCTCTCACCTCGACCTCCCCTTCCTCCCAGCCTCCTCTCTCAGGGTCCCTTCCAGGCCGTGCCCACGGTCAGCACTTGCCTGGCCGCAGCCGGGTTTCAGGATTCCCTGTCTGCAAAGTCCACACAAGTGGGCAGTTAGGGAGGCGCCCGGCGGGGAGCCAGGTGCCAGCCGAACCCGGAGACACCCAAAGCCTGCCCGGAGTCCAGCGGGCCRGCGGCTCTGCAGTCCCAGGAGGGCAGAGCCTGTGACTCAGTGCTTTCGGCCTCTGCAAGGAGGTCACTGTGGGGAYGGTCACTGTCTTAGGTTGTATATCCAGGGATTCAACCAACTGCAGGTGGAACTGTGTGGGGAAAAACTGACATCTGTCCTGAATGGACTGGTTTTTCTCCCCTAAACAATGCGATACCATGCATTTACGTAACGTTTGCACGATGCCTAGAGGTGATCTCAGTGTGCGGGGAGGTGGGCAGGTCATATGCAAATATCACACGTTGTATCTGTTATGCCATGTTATATAAGGGGCCTGAGCATTCGCAGATTTTGATATCCAAGGGGAGTTCGGGAACCAGTCCCCACAAGGAAACCAGGGGACAACTGTACTCTGATCCCCAAAAGAAATTCCTGCTGCCTGCAGTGACTCTGGCTGTCAGCTGTGAATGGGAGGCAGCCACCTCTTAGGCGGCCTCCCTCCCTGCCTCCTCTGCTCCCCAGCCTCTGGGTGTGGCAGGTCCCCCTCCCTGCTCTCCTGCCTCCTTCACAATATGGAAACTCCTTCACTGCTGTCTCAACCTTTACTCCAGGAGAGTCCCACCCAGCGCAGGGACAGCTGCGTAGCCTCCCACAGCGAGAGTGACCATGAGGTTTTTGTTTTATGCCTTTGATTGAAGTCTTTGCCCAACTTCCTTTATTTAAAAAAAAAAAATGGAAATGAGTTTATGCCTTTAAAAATAACCTGCGAGGCCAGGCACTGTGGCGCACGCCTCTAATCCCAGCGGCTCGGGAGGCTGAGGCAAGAGGATCACAGGTTCAGATCCAGCCTCAGTCATTTAGCGAGGCTGTAAGCAACCGAGTGAGACTCTGTGTCCCAATAAAAAAGTGAAAAAGGGCTGGGGATGCGGCTCAGTGGTGGGGCACCTTCGGGTCCGGTCCCTGGTACCAACAACAACAWCAACAATAATAATAACAAATAAGCCATGAACTAAAAAAACAAATACCCGCGAGCCCAGCACTCGGATATTCAGGTATTCCCCAGGCACACCCTGCCTGGCCGCGTGGCGCACACACACACTTGCACTTTGGTTTGCAATAAAGAGGTCACACTGCGGCTCTTCTTTCTTTCTTACCTACGAGATGCCAGGGCTTCTCTCCCAGGAAATGAACAGTCCACTTCACCGAGCGGGTGGCTGCCTGGTGTCCCGCTGTAGATTTAAGTTACCATTTGTGACCCCTCCGCTGCAGGACCTGGAGCCCCCCACCTGCAGTCCTGCAGCACCCCGTTAGCGTCTGCACCCTCCTCCTTCCTTCAGGTCTAAGCAGGCAGTGGAATGAGGTCCCGGGTCAGACACGCTTGTCACCGTCTGTGTCTGCCACGCTCAGCAGAGCAGAGCTGTGCCCGACCGGCCCAGCCGAGGTGACTTGCTGACCCACAGWGGAGTGGACCGAGGTCTGGCTCGGCCTGGCGCCTGTCCCCCATCCCCGCCTCTGCACGCCCACAGGGAGACACTGGGCCCCAGCCTCGCCTTTGCTGGGGACACTGGAGGTCCCCCTGGGTCATGCCTTGGAGTCTGCCCRGGCATTAAGGAGCACTGGGACCGTGGCTTGTCTGGTTGGGGGTGGAAAGGACAAGAGCGACCCCGTTCACACCTTCGATTCTGCCCACAGGCGGCCTCAAYGGGGCGACCATCATCGACTCCCTCGACACCCTCTACCTCATGGAGTTGAAGGAGGAGTTCCAGGAGGCCAAGGCCTGGGTGGAAAACTACTTCCACCTGAACGTGGTGAGTCGAGGCCCTCGGTATTCAGGCCAAAGGGGCCCTGCCCATCAGCGACCAGTTCTACCCTGAGTCTCTGACCCAGAGATGTCAAGGGCCTTGCCCCAGGCTGCACAGCAGAACAGTCCCAGAGTCAGGACTGTAGAGGACTCCATGCTGAGTCCAGCCTTGAGGTGGGGACATCTCCCGGGTCTGGCATCCTCTCCTGGGAGGTAAGATGCTATGGCCATCCCCCTCCTCCCCACCAGATCGGCCCTTACCCCTCTGGGAGTGTTGCTTCTACCAAGGCTGTTCTGGGGCTGAATCTGTCACTCAGGGCAGCAAGGCAGACGTGGACGTGGCCAGCTCTCTGGACGGGTGTGGCGGGGCAGCCAGTCAGAGGGCCGCAGCCAGGCCCAGGACCCTCGTGGTTCCCATTCTCACGGGCTCCCCTGGCCATGGCCAAAAGCCTCATGGAGAGGATGGCACTGTGTCCAGACGGCACGAGAGCCCTGAAGGCCAGGCCTGGCCCGTTGATCTCCCAGCCCAGACTAAGCCGCGGCTGTGTCCCAGGGGTCTCTGCTCACAGCGGCGGAGGCCACGTGCCGGAACCTGGGGAGTGAGAGGCAGATGGAAGGGGAGCAGGAGTTAGCCCTACGCGCCTCAGCCCAACAGCGCGCTCTGCCTCCGGCAGGGGCCAGGTCGCCGGCACAGGCCGGGTGGGGGGGAACCTGGGGGGTCCAGAGCCACGCAACCAGGAGGCGGCGGAGCACAGGCTCCCGCGGCCCAGCTGCTCTCCCTGGGAGAGGGAAGGCGAGGTCGCAGCCGTGGTGGCGTGAGCTCTGTCTCGAGCACGTAGAAGGCATCTCCTGGCACTGTGACGTCCAGCTCAGGTGTGAAGCCACCCCCTCCAGATCATCGTCATTCCCTGGCCATCTTGAAGCTGGGGGCCACTCCTGGGGCTCGTGTGAGGCCAGGAAGGTCAGACTCCTCCCGCTCCCTCCTTTGAGGACTGGAGTGACGTGGGACATCTGGAAAGCTGCCCAGGGCGCCGAGGGTCCTGGGCCACTCAGGCAGGCTGGGAGCATCCCAGAAGAAAGCCAGGCAGGGTCACCTCTTTGAAGGGTGGCTTTCTCATCTGACCTCACGCAACACGGAGGCTGAAGAGAGCTGGCTTGGCCCGCGCTCGAGGCCACCAGTGATAAACCTTGGTGCAGACAGCTGCCTCCCAGAGCCCTGGGGACAAGGGAGGTGGCTGCAGGCTCCGCTCTGAGGGCCATGCCCTGCTCTGGGCACACTTGCCCGCGGCACCGAGTCTCCCAGCCACCCTCCCTGGGAGGCGCRGCGGCCTGTTCTGCAGATGAGGAGACCGGGGCAGGGCAGGGGATTGTCCCCCAGCCGTGTGAGGTGGTCGTGGGGATGTTAACCCAGACCTGGTCCTTGGCGTGGAGTCTCCAAACCCCTGATGGCGGTCCCGACGTGATGGAGACAGGCGTGGGTGTGTCCCGCGCTCTCAGGAGCCGAGGTCTGAGAAATCGCAGGCCACGCCTCTGCCTGGCACCTCCCACTCAGCCCTGGCCCTGCCGGTCACCCCGGGAAGGCCCTGTCCCTTCTCCCGCTACCCCAGGGTCTGCCTCCAGAGAAGGGAGGAGAGGCCCCGACTAGAAGAGGCTTTGCCTCCCCTCGGGCTGAGCTTCCTCGAGCTCCGCAGCCAGCTCCTCCAGCTCCGTGGAGCGAAGCCAGGCGTAACTCTGGTGGCCTCTGGCCAGGGTTGGGGACAGAAGCCAAGCCCAGTGTTTATTTGGAACGCTGTTAAAGGTTCAGTAGCAAACCCAGGCAGGTGCTAAGCCCCACCAACTACTGCTATGAAACCTGGGCCTGGCCTGGCCCTCTGGGGGTGCCCTGGAGCCAGGCCCAGGTTGGGGGTGCAGCCGGGGCTTCAGTGAGGCCTCGGGGATCCCTGCTCACTGTGTCCTGCTTTGTGTCCTGCAGACCGGGGAGGCGTCCTTGTTCGAGGTGAACATTCGCTACATCGGAGGGCTGCTCTCGGCCTTCTACCTGACAGGGGAAGAGGTGAGTGGGCCTCCAGGCCCCGGGACCCTGTCCTAGCCCTTCCTCTCACCAACGGGAAAACCAGGTTCCAAGGGGTCGGAGACCTGCCCAGGGGCCACCGTGAGCCCCGCCAGGACGGGTTCCCCTGAAGCCTCCTCCCGATCTCTGCCGCCCAGGGCCCCGCCGGCCCCCAGTCGGTAGCGGATGCTCCGCCGAGTCCTCGCGGCTCCCCTCGCAGGCCGCTGCTTGTGTCTGCGTGAGGCTGGTTCTCAGGACCCAGAAAGCCCAGAGCAGGGACCCTGGCTCGGTCACACTCCACGGCCACCCTTGCCCTTCCCTCCTGGGCCAGGTGCCAGCCAGACGCCCCCACCTGAAGGCAGAGCCCACAGGGAGCCCGGGACCTCCTCCCACCCCACGCTCCCTGCTGTGGCCTGCACAAGTCCCTTCCCTTATCACCAGCCCAAAGGGGGACGCTCGCTCGTTGTCCCCTCTCTGGGCTGGGGAGGGCTTGTCCCGGCCAACAGCGCCTCAGCCCGCTTCTCCTGGATCCTGTAGAGAGGGGGGCTTCCTCCTCCTCCTCCTCCTCCTGAGCTCCTGCCCAGCCCTGGTGTCAGGCGGCGAGGTGGGCACAGTCCCCAGAACTCGGGTCACTGGGTGGGTGTCCCCTGTGGCCCAGCAGGTCCCTGCGATGGGGCCGGGTGCTCAGCTCCCTCTCCTGCCCCCTCCCCTGTACCCAGGGACGTGGGCCAGGGGAGCCTGAGGTGGGCTGGGGGAGCCGGAGGTGGGCCGGGCAGCCGCAGCAAGACCCCACCCCCCCACGCTGCTGTCTGCAGTCCCTCCACCTGCTGCAGGGCAGGGCCGCAGTCGAAGTCTGGGGTTTAGAGGCGACAGAGCTTTATCTCCCCAGTTGCTTCGGGCCTCTCTCCGTCAAGCCTAATCCCCTCAGCAGAGATTACTGCTTGTACCAATTTGTCAAAAAAAAATTGTAGACAGAGCCCTCGGCTTTGAGCCACCCGAAGACTGAATTTTATTTGAAAACCTCAGGACAGGAAAAACGACAGAAGGAGCAGGAGACAGGCACTCATGCTTCACGGGTCTTTGCCGCCTCCCTGGCTGGCTRTAGTGGGGAGAGGGGATGCAAGGGAGTGTGGGATGGCAGCTGCTTGGGGCTCGTGGGGCTGGTCTGGGGTCCGTGGGTCAGGCTGGTGGCCGCGTGGCATAGGTGGCTGATAAGTGTTATCAGCGACTTGCAGATGCGGAAACTAAGACTCACRTCCCTGAGCCACTGAAGTGGGTGCTGGGCCTGACTCCTGACCCCGTGGTTCTCCTGTCACTAGTTGTCCCCAGGGCTCAGCCACACCTGCCTGGGCCTCCCTCCGTCCCCTCTCAGCCCGACGTGGTCTCTCCGTTCTTTAATGTTTCCCATGAGTATTTGTGGAGTCGGGGTTGAGGCCCCCAAGCCTCCTCCCAGGCTGAGGCTGCCTTCAGCGGAAGCCGCTGGAGACCCCCGTGCGGCCCTGACCCGTCTTGCCGAGACCAGGCGCTCCGAGAAGGCAGCCTGACCGCGCAGTCCGGCACGCCCAGTCCAGGACAGCCCCAGCTGATGGCCAGAAAGCCTTGGGAGGCACCAGGGTGCCGGCCCCCACTGTGGGGGCAGACGGGGAAACCAAGGCTCAGAGACAGGACAGGGTCACCCAGCTGCTGAGTGGCCCCTGGAACTGAGCCCTCGGGGCCCCCCGTGCCCTTCCCACTGGACAGGGTGTGCCCATGCTGGCCTCTCCCACCCCCGTCCTGGAGCGAGCCACTTAGCTCTGCAGCTTTGGGAAYGTCGGTTCTGAGACTCAGTTGTCCCATCCTCAAAGTGGGTCAGCACCTTCCCAAGTCAAGGACTGACGATGTGTGGACGGGACACCAGCGCGTCTCACTCCTTCAAAGATGGCAGGGGTGGGGGAACCGCCTTCTGTCCCCAGGGGCTCACTCCTGTCCTCACTCAGTCCCCGCCCTGCCAGCAGGGAGGCGTCTCGGGCCTCTCAAAGGAGGGGACGTGGTCCACTGGCGACTCGGCGTCCTCGGGACCCAGACGGTCCGACAGCGGCCGCGTCCTCACATCTGCTGGAGTCCTGTGCTCACTGCTGCGGCCCCTGGGGTCCAACCAGGAGATGAGGAGCCTCCCCGAGACCCAGGGCCTTGGGAGCACTGCACCGTGGCTTCAGCCGGGCCAAGGCTAGAGGCCCCCGAGGGCAGGCCCCGCGGTTCTGTGCAGCCACGAGCCCCCGCACTCTGATGTGGCTGGTCCCAGGGCCACTTGGGGGCCCCACCGTCGGGTGCTGGACCATATCATCTTCTCTGGCCCGTGGCTGCCAGCCCCACGCAGCCCTTCCCTCCTCCTCAGAGCGAGGACTGCCCCACCCTCGGGGACCTCAAACCCGTCCCTCCCCACTGCCCAGTGCACCCAGAGGTGCTCGACCACCGAGCCACATCCCCGGCCCTTTTGACTTTCTATTTTGAGTCACTTAGGGCCTCGACAAGTTGCTGAGGCTGGCCTTGAACTCATGATCCTCCTGCCTCAGCCTCCTGAGCCACTGGGATGGCAGGCGTGGTGCACCAGCGTGCCCTGTGAGTTTTTGGTCACAGGGAGGACTTGACAAGGGTTTGTTTTAAAACCATAGGAGGTCAGCACACTGGGCTGTCCCAGCTCCAAGGTGACAAGACACCAGGAGCTGTGGCTTAGGGTCTTGAGTCTCATCTGTCCAAAATAAACGACATTAAAAACTGTCTTCCCTCCGTGTCTGTCTGAGGACATTGGGCCTGAACCCCCGCAGGTGCCTAATTCCGTGGATGCTCCAGCCCTGATCGAAAATGGCCTGGTGTATGAGTGAACCACGGCCACCCTCATTCCTTGTAACACTCAATACGATGTAAATGCTGTGTCCACTGTGACATGTAGGGAATGATGACGAGGGACAAAAGTCTGTACGTGTTCCATACAGATGCATATGCTTTTAATATTTTTCACCTGCAGTTTGTGGATTCCATGAACACACAACTGCAGATATGGAGGCTTCTTTTTTGAGTAAAGATTGCACAAGCCAGGCACGGTGGTGCACACCTGTAGTCCCAGCTGCTCTGGAGGCTGAGGCAGGAGGATGGCTTGAGCCCATAAGTTAGAGGCCAGTCCGGGCAATCGTGAGACTCCCCGTCTCAAAGAAAATCGATATTTTTTAATTTCACAGAAAATAGATAAACCAAAAGAAGAATCTAAAGCTTGTCCATAAGCTTACCCTCTGAGAAGAATGTTATTTATATTTTGGTGTATTTCCTTCCTTTTTTTCATACATCCACATATGAATAATTTTTTTGAAGTTGAAATACACTGTTTTCCTCTAAGCATGTTAAAAACCCTTTCTTTGCCATGTGTCCTCAGACAGCATCGCCTCGGTGGCTGCGTGGCGCCATGACGTGAAAGCCATGATTCAGCCACCTGCCCAGACCTGGGTGTTTCTGTCCCCAAGCTGTTCTAAGCAGTGCCAGAGTAAATAGTCGTAAAGTTAAATCTTTGCAACGCTCTTGATTATTATCCCTTTAGAATAAATTGCTGGGAGAGAAACTGCTGCGGCAGAAGGTCACGGGCCTTTTGAGTCACCCTGGACTTTCAGGGGGACCGTTTGGCGCCTCCGGCAGGACCTAAAGCCCAGGAGCTTCTTGCACGTGGGTGATGGGGACAGGGGTCCCGCGCCCTCCAWCCCTGTGTCTAATGGGAACAGTGAGCAGCTGCACTGTCCTCCACTCTGACACCGCGTCCACAGAGTGGGCGGCACTGACCACTGGTGACCGCCCCACCTGCCGGGTCTTCGTRTGGACAGGGAGGTGACCCCCAGAGCAGCTGACTGCTTTCCTTCCATCTTCCCACTACCTCTAATCAGAGGGACAGTCCTCCCTCCCAGCCCCGACCCTGTGACAAACGCTGTCCAATGGTCAACTTTCCTCTCCCCCTGCACCTCTGTGGGGCCGGTCCTTTGCGGGTCCAGGCTGCCCCCCGGGCTGGCTGCCTGCAGAGTCCAGGARCGTCACCTCCCCGTCCGGGCCCGCAGCCCGGGGAAGGTGCACCCTGCAGCAGTGGCCTCCGGGAGGGACCGCCCGTCCTGCTGACGCRGTGCCTGTGGTCCTGTCGCCCAGGTGTTCCGCAGCAAGGCCATCCAGCTCGGGGAGAAGCTGCTGCCGGCCTTCAAYACCCCCACGGGGATCCCCAAGAGCGTCGTGAACTTCAAAAGGTAGGACGCCCTGCCCTTGCCCACGCTGGGCCTCAGGTGCCGCGGCAGCTCGCCCACGGTCTGAGCCTTGTCTGGGGGGCAGTCTGGTGAGGTGGCCTCGGGGCAGTTGGCAGACAGAGGGGTCCCTGGCCGTCACCCGTGTCCCATCTGTTCTTCACAGATGTGGAAACTGAGGCCCAGGGAGAGGGCAGTGCCAATCTTGGAAGTCAAAGGAGTCAGTGGCCTGGTGACATCTACCTTGGCCAAGGACTTTCCTGGGCAGGTGTCTGTCACCCAGCCTGGTGCTCAGGCTCAGGCCCCGGAACTGACCTCTCCCAGCCGTCTCCAGGTCGGCCCRGACCCTCGCTGCACCTCATCCCCCTCCCTGGGGCAGGTGCCCGAAGCTGCCGAGGGGTCTCAGGGCCCTGGCTCTCCCCAGGACAGACCCCTGCTCTCCAGGGGCCCCAGGCCCTGTCCCTGTGCTGCGAGGGTCCATCCTGAGGCCCTCTGACACACCCAGACGGGAGGGAGGCTGTGGCCGCTCCGTCCCCCAGGCCCCACCCCTGCTCCCGAGGGGAGCTCTGGTTTCAGGTGCTCGTCCCCATGGAGCTCAGCCACCGCCTGGGAGCAGGGAGCCCACTCGCACCGCAGCCCAGGGCACCCCACCCCGTCCTACCCCTTCTCCAGCTGTGCCCAGAGGAGAGGCCTTGGCGTGCCCAGTGTCCTCACGACTGTCCTCTGTCGGGGAGCACCCCTGGGGGCCATCAGGCCGGGGAGGGACCGTCAGGGCCGATGGAGGCTCGGCTCCGAGCCAGGACCCACTCCCCAGAGCTGAGGCTGGGACTCAGCTCGGCTTCCTCTTCCACAAACACTGATCCTGGAGAGACGCAGCTCTCCTTCCCGGGCTTCCCCTCGTTTTCTGGACAAGAGTCTGTTGGTAAAAACGGGAGAGTGACCTGGAGGCACGTGGCCATGTGCTGCTGGTGCTCCTTGGAGAGGGCCTGCTGGTGGGGGCTGGACCCCACTGCCCCCCTGCCCTGGCCGGRGCTCTCTGTGGGCAGCTCTGGAAGGGAGAGTGAGAACGTGGCCCTGAGGGAGGCCTCGCCCCGCACTCCAGACAGGGGACGGCCATCGCCCAGGCAGGCCTGGGAGACGGGGCAGAGCCGGCCGTGACCAGTAACCTGCATGGACCGCTGGACTATCTGGGACGGTGACAGTGGCCAGTCCAAGGCCCTCTGTGGCCGAGTCCACCTCTCACTGTCTCTTTCATGCAGAGCCTCACACATCAGCCCCACTGCCCACCCCCCGTACAAATTCGTAAAGGCTCCGACTCACAGGCCGGCCTTTGTCACCGGCACCACGTCCACATGTGGGCACACCCACCCACACACAAGTGCGGGCCTCTTCTGCCACACCCGCACGTACACATCTTCATCACTGCAAATAGCTACGGGGCATTCACTGTGTGTCAGGCACCATGTGAGCACGTGACGTGGATTCCTGAATCTCTCGACGACTATATGCATCCCATTTTGCCAGCAAAGAAACTGAGGCTCAGAAAACTATGGCAGTTTACCTGAGGTTACCCAGCAGTCAGAAGAAGTGAGAATTAAATTCCAGTTCTCTCTGGCTCCAGGGTTAAGGATTACACTGCGTAGGTAGGGACTTGAGCCGGGGGGGGGGGGCATGGTGGAGTAGCCCCATTTGCCAGGGGAGGGGACACAATACCTGAGCTTACAAGGCTACAAGAGGAGGGCAGAGCTTCCTACTGGGCACTTGGCTCACAAGGCTGACCCCAGGATACCCTGATCCCTGGGATGCTGCCCAGAGCACATGCCTTTGGGGTGCAAAGTCCTGAAGATCTGGATTTGGATCCAGCTTCACCTGCTCTACTCCTTGCTGTGTGACCTTAGAAAAGTGTCTCCCAGCCTGGCGTGGTGGCGCAYGCCTATCACCCCAGGGACTCGGGAGGCTGAGGCAGGAGGATCAGAGACTTCAAAGCCAGCCTCAGCAACTTAGCAAGTCACTTAGCAACTCAGCGAGACCCCCGTCTCTAAATAGAATATGAAAAGTGGCTGCAGATGTGACTCAGTGGTTAAGTGCCCCTGGGTTCAATCCCTGGTACCAAAAAAAGAAAAAAAAAAAGACGAGAGCCTAAGTGTGCTCTCGTCWGATGTAAAGAGCACAGGATCTGTTTCTGAAGTTGGATGTGAAGGTACAGTAAGATAATCACAGCCACCTGGCCTGGATCAGGAATTTTTTTAAGTTGTTGATGGACCTTTGTTTTATTCATTCATATGYGGAGCTGAGAATCGAACCCAGGGCCTCACACATGCCAGGCAAGCGCTAGGCCACTGAGCCCCAGCCCAGCCCCCTGGATTAGGAATTTATGAACAATGGTAATAAGTGACAGATAATCCACGTGTGTGATTCATACCTCACATGACTCTCAGGCACGGGCCCCAGGATTTAAGGGAGGAGAAGACAGACCTAGGAAGGGAGCCCACCTGCTTGAGGGCACCACCTGGGACTGAGGGGACCAGTGCTGGAAGCCAGGCAGGAGGGAGGAAAGTCACCAGCCACCTGCTCGTCCCTCCCAGGCCGGGCCCTACCTGTGCACCAGGAAACCCCACCACAGGAGCCCTGGTGGCCCGGTCAGCAGGAGGGGGCAGGAGGGAAGGCGGGAGGCCCAGGTGGACCCCTGGGAGGCCAGGAAGCCCCCACTGGTCAGGAAGCCCTCTGCTGAGCTGCAAGCTAGAACAAGATGTCACCTAGCCTGGGGGTAAGAGGAACAGGGAGGACAGGAGGGGCAGCTCCCTCTTTCCCTCCAGGGCATTGGGAGGCCATCTGAGGGTAGATGACCCCTGGGGGAACTGTGAGGCCCAGAGGACCACAGTGTGAGCCCCACGTCCGCACCTCGTGGCTCTGACCGTGGACCTCCCCTTCCCGTGGGGTCTTCGTTTCCWCCTGGGGACTGATGAGGCTTCACCTGTGGGTCTTAAAGGGGTCATGATGCAGATGGCTCAGGTCAGCGCCCAGCGCGCCACGGGGGCTCAGTAAGCTGGAACAAAGTGTCCCCTCCTGTTCTGTCCTTCCTCTCCTCCCCACCCCCGCCCCGGGTCAGGGGCAATGCCCAGGGAAGCCGCAATGGGACTCAGCAGGTAGTTGTCTCTGCATTTGTCGAGGTTCCCTGACCCCAGAGATCTCGAAACCCAAGCCCTCCCCCTGCTCCCAGCAGCTAAGAGGTTGTGAGCTTCCCTACCGTCCCCAGAAACCACCCAGGTCCAAGACCAGGGCCTAGAGAGGAGAAGGACCGCCTCAGGGGAGCCCCAGCCCCAGCCCCGGTGGCAGACAGTGACCTCCCCACCCCTCTCCTTCCCAAGTCCTGTCCTCCTCCACCGGCTCCCTGAAGAGTCCCCAGGCCCCTGGTTATCTGAATGTCCCACAGGTAGATAGCCACAGGGCGTAGGGGACTGAGGCCCTGGGAGGGAGACAGCTTGCCCAGTGTCACGGTTTAGATGTCCTCAGAAGGCCGTGTGTGAGCGAGACCAGAGAGCACAGAGGTGACATGATGGGGACAGGAGAGCCTTGCCCTGGTCAGTGCGTGGGTCTTCCCGAAGGCACCCCCTGGTCCAGCTGCGGGCAGGCCGGGCAGGGCTGGCGGAGGCCGGTGGCTGGGGTGTGCCTCTGGATACATTTTGTCCTGGTGAGTGGAGCTCGCTCTCTGCTTCCTGACGGCCCTGTCCTGAGAGGTTCTCCTCTGCCATGATGTTTTGCCTCATCTTGGGACCAGAGAAAGGAAGCCAGCCGTATTTGAACAGAGACCTCTGAAACCGTGAGCCCAGATCAACCTTTACTCTCCCACATGGTCCTTACCAGGTCTTTGGGTCACAGCAGTGACAACGCTGACTCAAACTCCAAGGCCACCCTCTTCTGCACCCTCCTCCTCTCCTAATCCCCACCAAGTCTCAGGCCCAGAGACAGAGCAGGAGGTATCCTCCATCCCCGGTGGAGGAGTGTGGGGACCGAGGTGCCCCATGCTGACGGGGTTTGCCCGAGGACCCAGCCAGCACACGCTGGGACCTGCACTGGGCTCCTGATCCCAGGGAGGAGGTTCATGGTTAACCCGAGCTTCAGGTCCCAGCTGCTGGGTGAGCTCAGGCAGGTGACCTAGTGCCCTCTACCTGGTTCCTCAAACGCGGAAGGGCAGCGGTGAGGACTGACTGAGCCCTGGCTCCGCCGCGGCTCGGGAGCTTGCACAGCTGTCGGGGCCGCTTGGCGAGCTGGAGGGCCACAGCGCGGCTTCCCTGCGGGGTTCAGAGGAGCACAGGGTCAGGGAGAGGAACGCCCACTCCCACCCCAGGTTTCCCCCAGCCCCACAGCTCCAGGGTCATGGCCATACCAGGAGCTGACCATCACGTGGAGGTCCCAGGAAATTCCACACCAGAGCCAGTGCGTGTCGGGGAGAGGGGGGACCCAGGTGGGGTCCCTGCCCTGCATCTGCCCCCTCCGGACCCAAGCCCGGCACCACTGTTTTCCCCCAGCGACGGGAGAATGCTCCTCCGTGGGATCTTAGCACGTCCTGATGACTTTGTCAGTGTCACCTGCAAATTTACCCTAACTGAGTGCCAGATCTCGAGCCCCCAAGTCTCCCAGGGGCTGCTTGATGATAGAACCCGATATTTAGAGTCAGACGGGCCTGGGTTCAAATGACCTTCGGCAAGTCACCTAACCTCGCCCACTACGTGGTCCTCATCGACAAAACGGGGCCAGAGAGATTCAGTGGGATTCCGTAGCTCAGTGCCGGCCACACTGCAGGTGACCCCACCCCAAGGTGCGCCTGGCCAGCAGGGGTGACCGTGGCTGGTTCTGTGTTTCCAGGGGGAACTGGGGCTGGGCCTCCACGGGCGGCAGCAGCATCCTGGCCGAGTGTGGGTCTCTGCATCTCGAGTTCCTGCACCTCACCGAGCTCTCTGGCAACCAGATCTTCGCAGAAAAGGCAAGTTGCCCCTCTCCCCCCAAGACAGCACCCCCTCTTCTGCCTGCAGAGAGCAGAGGCCAGTGCCAGGAAGGAGCTGTGCCCCGACACATGCCAGCTTGGGGACAAATCTCTGAACTGTGAAATCTGGAGAAAGTACAGCGGGAACCCGGGCTCGGCCTCGCCTCGGCAGGAGCTGGCCACTGGCCCACTGCCCCCTTTCCAGGGACGTTTAGCTTTTCTGAGTGCGATCCTCTGCTCTCCCTCCCAGACGCCCAGCTGGCTCTCACTGACAGCAGCTGGCAAGAGGTTCCTGTCCCCAGCCGACGCCCACGGTGTCCCTCCTCACAGCTCTCAGCTCTCCAAGGCCACAGGGTATCGAGAGGTAGCATCCAGGCCAGCATCCAGTCCTGACAGTGACCCGCACCTGGCCCTTCGGGAGAGCCCTCAGGAGGGGCCCTTCTTCAGTGCTGCAGTCCCCACTGGAAGTGCCCCTGTAGGTCTGACCCTATACCCAAAGAAGGAAAGTGGGCACGCACACACACTCAGGTGGCACTCAGGCTGTGACAGCTCTGACCCCTTCTGAGTCCCCCTGGGAGATGGAAGCCCTGCCTGCCAGAGTCCTCCAAAGTCCTCAAGGATGGCCTTTTGGGCCCCCCCCACTCCCCAGACCTCTAGAATGTCAGCCTAGTAGACTGGCGAGGGGATGGGAGGTGACAGAGTGGCACTTCTCCCTGGTGGCTTTCTGGGTGGAGTCACCAGCTGGCCTCAGAGCATCACCTGGCGCTGGAGTCGGCATGGAAACCCACACCCATGCGCTCCTGGATGCCAGGTTGGGGACCACTGCTGACTCAGCGTGTCCTGGAGAGGGGGGAGGGGAGCTTCTCAGCCCCTTGATGGCTGCCTGTGACAGGCGGGCGCTCACCACCACCCTTAACCCACCTGCTCCTCCTGTTGAGCCCGTCTGCCAGGAGGGCCCTTGAGCCCTCCTGGGATGCACCCAATCCCATCCCGAGGCTCTGACTTCCCGATCCTTGTCCCACCTCCGGGGCCTTGCTCCAGCCTCCCCGCTCCCAGTGCCCTTGAGCCAGGCTCCTCCAGGAAGATCTGACAGCTCGGGAGGAGCAGAGACAGGAGCTCACGCTGGTCGGGATCCTCTGGGGTAATTGCTCCAGTGCCTGAGCACCTGCTGTGTGCAGAGCAGCTGTGCTCCCTGTGATCCCCTCAGGAGCCCTGGGAGGGAGATCTCTGCACTACCCCCATTTTACAGAGGAGGAAGCTGAGGCTCAGAGAGGCTCCGTAATGCACCCAGGGCCACCAGCTGGTGAGCAATGAAGCTGAGACACCAGCCCAGAACAACGGGCTCTTTCTGCACCTGCTGAGTGCAGCAGGCTTGGGCTCTTCCTCGGGGTCCATCTGTCTGTCTCTTCTCCCTCCATTTGCCTACTCTGGCTATTTTCATCCCCAGTCACACCCTCCCACAGAGGCAATTATTTGGCAGTCAACAAATTGGCCCAAATTCTAGAAGCGCCCATACCCTCCAGGGGAGCTAATTTAGCCTGTTTCTCTGCTCACCCCCAGGACAGTCGAGAATAACTCGGGTAGTGCACCTCCCTGACCCCCATGATGGGCTCCATTAACATAAATGGACATGAAATCTGATGCGGCAAAGCCAAGTGCTGTCCCCCACCCCACCTCCCCCCCACCCACCGGGGAAGAACCGTCTGCAGCTAAAAGGCTTCTCCCTGGCTCCACACCGTCTGGATTAAGCTATTAGCAGGCCCCAGTGTGGTCCCTGAGGGTCTTTCTCTCCCAGAGGATCTTGTGCTGGGTGGGACTTACAGCCCTGCCAGACAGCAGCCACCGGGAAGAAAGTCCTGAATTCCACCTGTCACCCTTGCCCTGCGCAGCCCCAAAGGCTGAGCCAGCCCCGCCCCCTGCAGCCTGGGCAGCCTCGGCTGGGTGTGGCTGTGTAGTCACCATCCCCGTCCATCTTGGACTCAGCCGCTGCTCCCTGGAGCACAAGGACGTACAGTCAGTGGGGACAGACAGACGGACTAGTGTCCTGGCTCAGCAACCTGAGACTCACTGGCCTTTGGCACATCACCGAACCTCTCTGAGACTCAGGTTTCTTGTCATTACCCAGGGATAACGATATCTTGTAGGTGGCTCTGAGCGGGAGACGGTGTCCATAGTGGGTCTGTCTGTCTGTCTTAACGGAGTGGAGAAACAGATGCTGTTATTATTCTCGACACTGTTAAAACCCTCAACTGCCAGTTAGGGTGCAGGGCACTCAGGAGTCCAGGCCTTTCCCCGAAATGAGTCCTAAGGTATTAGATACACTCACTTGTTAGCAATACTTATTAAACCCAGCAATTCTCAACCACTGATTCTTAACCAGTGATTCTCAACCACTGAGCCACACCCCCAGCCCTTTTTAGGTTTTATTCTGAGACAGGGTTTCTCTAAGTTGCTCAGGCTGGCCTCACACTTGACCCTCCTGAGTCTTTGGCATTACAGGTCTGTGCCACTGTGCCCAGCTGTGTCCCTTTTTGTCTATGTGTGGGGGCAGAGGATTAAACCCTGAGCACCCCTTAGCTCCCATCATCTATATATTTTTAAGTTGTTGATGGACTTTTATTTCATTCATTGATTTATATGCAGTGCCTCACACGTGCTGGGCAGGGGCTCTACCACCGAGCCACCACCCCAGCAACCCCCAGTCCTTTTGAATGGTTTTAATTTTGAGACAGTCTTGCAGAGTTGCCAAGGCTGGCTTCAAACTTGGACTCCTCCTGCCTCCGCCTCCCGAATGGCTGGGATCACAGGCGTGAGCCACCACACCTGGCCCTTGACTTTTTTTTTTTTTTAATACTTTTTAGTTGTAGATGGACACAATCTCTTTATTTTGTATTTGTTTATTTTTATGCCGTGCTGAAGCTTGAACCCAGGGCCTCATGAGTGCGAGGCAGGTGCTCTACCTCGGAGCCCCAGCCCCGCCCTGGCCCTTGACTTTTTAAACTTCACCTGCGCATTATTCCTTGGGGGAGAGTGAGAACACTGAGAATGTACTCTCTTGGCGATTTACACAAACACGACACATTGTCACTGAACAGCAGAGCCCTTGGACTCATTCCTCCTGTGCAATCCGTGTCCTCTGACCAGCGTCTCCACCCCCCACCTCCTGCCCATGGTCCCTGTGACGACTGTTGGATGCTGCTTCCTCACTACAGTCGGGGAGGGGCAGGCGGTGGCCTGTGCAGTCCGGGGACAGGTGGTGGATCAGGCCCCCCATGGCCGTGTCCTGCCGTGGTCTGTCCCTGGGCACAGGTCCAGGCCGTGGCCGCCTCTGGGCACCTCTCCTTCCTGCCTCGCTGGAATGGTCTCCCCTGAGTCTGCAGCTGCCTCCCTTCCCCGCTGGGCCGGGGGTCAGGCAGCTTCGGGAGGGTGAAGCGGTGCCGTGTCCGTCCCCCGGCAGGTCAGGAAGATCCGCCGGGTGCTCAGGGAGATGAAGAAGCCCTACGGCCTCTACCCCAACTTCCTCAGCCCCGTGACCGGGAACTGGGAGCAACGTGAGTACAGAGACGCCGGGGCTCCCCCACCCCCCTCCAGGGCCAGGACCCAGCGTGTGGCCACGAGAGAAATTCACGGTCACCCCGTCCCCCGCCKGGCATCTGCTCAGGGCCCCCTACGGAAGCTGAGTGGGCTGGGGAGGACGCCAGGGTGAGGACGTGGGGGCGAGTCCCCTTGAGGAGCCTGGCTCTGGGAGGAGCAGGCCCCGGCCCCAGTGTGCCCTCTTGACCAAGGCCCCGTCCCATGGTCACCGTCAGCACGAAGGGATGGCAGCAGGTTCTGTGGGCACTGCCTCTGGGGCCTTCCCCAGACCTGCCCAGAGGCCCCACCTCCACTGTCTGCCCCACAGTGACCCCTCTCCATGTGCCCTGCCTCCCACCCTGGCTGTGTGGCAGGGGCTCAGGGGCAAAGCAGACCTAAGCCTCAGAGCGTGTGGCCTGGGAGCGGGAGAAGACTCCTGTGGGCCAGGAAGGGAGGAGGGCGGGAGGCCGGTTCCGTTCAGCCCTCCAGAGGTGACTCAGGTTGTCTCAGAGCCAGTGATGCAGGCAGGGCCTGTGGGGACAGGGACAAGGACTCGCGGGAAAACACAGAGGCCTTTCCTTCCCACCCGAGCCTCTACCATCTGCAGGTCTGGGAGGCCCAGAAAATTCCACCCAAGAATTTCCCCCAGGGATGGCTTCACCCCAAGTGGACTCCCCCCCCCCACATACACACTCACAAAATACAGAAATGCAAAGTATTCTCACCCAAAATGCCCTGCCAAATCCCAAAGCGAGGAGAGGAGAGGAAGGCCTGAGTTACAGAGTGCGCGAAGAGACCATGGAGAACTGCGAACCTGGCTGGGCCTGGGGAGGCTGAAGCAGGAGGATGGCAAGTGCGAGGCCAGCCTGGCTCGGCAGCCAGGTCCTGTCTCAAAACATAAAAAGGGCCMGGGACACAGCTCAGRGGTAGAGTGCTTCCCGGCCTGTGTGAGGCTCTGCTCAATAAATAAACAAAAAGAACCAAGAACCACTTCTCCTTGCAAGGGTAGAGCCGGCCTCCCCAGGCAGGCAGCAAACCCCGCGGGGAGAGGTGAGGCCGTGGCCTCCCTGCCTACCCTTTCCCTCCGCAAATTAGAGGGGACCCCACACACACACCCCAGAGGGGCATGATTTTATTTTCTGCCTGTGCCAGGGGCCGCGGGGCGGGGCAAAGTCGCTCCCATATGGGAAATTGCTTCACATTAATAAAGTAGGAGCCGGCGACGGCTGAAGAGCAGAGGGAGGTCACCAGCCCTGCTGAGCCGGCGCCGGCCTCCTCCTCACCCAACCTCGGCGCCAGGATCATCTCAGGGCCTCTGGGGGTTTTGTGGGATTCTTCTGGGGCGTGTGTGTTGCCCACAGATGATCACAGCCTATTTCTCCCTTCGAGTCCTCGGGTCAGCCCAGGCAGCAGGGTGAGAGCTGGGCATCCATTTGCAACCACAGAAATGGGGGGGCAGGGCTGCCGCGGCCCAGCTGCCAACCCCCCAGGCTGCTCGCTGCCCCTGGTAACAGGGGAGGCCCAAGAGCCTCCTGCTAAGCCCCCATGAACCCCTGGCTCCCGGCAGCCCCAGGCCCAGACGAGACCAGGCTGAGACTCCTTAGAGCCCAGAGAACCGTAAGGAGAGGTCTGCAGCCCCTCAGCCGGGCCCCTGGCTGCTGAACCCCAGGCTTCCTTCAGGGGGCCCCTGGGAGGCCCGGGCCTCGGAGTCTGAGTGCCTGTCGGCTCCGCCTGGCCGCTTCCCAGCTCCATGCTGCGGAGCCCTGGGCCTGTGGCCCTGCCTCCTGCCACCAGATGTGATGAGAATGTGACAAGGTCAGGAACCAGTGACGGACCTCCTGGTGAGAGCTGTCCACTCGGGCCAAGTCCACCTGCAAGGTGACTCTCACACTCCCGGAGAGTCCTGTCTCCAACACCGTGAGACCCGGTGGCCGGGTTCCCCTCTCTTGCAAACCCCAGATGGGAACCTGGACCTAGTGACACCCAAGCTGCACCGAGCAGGTGAGGGTGTCAGCCAGCACGGTGGAGAAGGATACCAAGGCCCAGGGAGAGCACCAGCCGAGGCCAGGGGCCCACCCCGTGTGGCGTGCGGCCTTCCCCACATCTCCCCGGCACAGACCTGCCCGTCATGGGCTCGCTGGGCCTCCCTCCACCCCACCCCACCCCCGTGCACCCCTGCCTGTCGGGCTGTACCCCCACCAGGATGACGGGCGGCACCGTCAGGGGCTCTTCCCTCCCCCCCCGTAGCTAAGCCCCGAGGCCCCCCCACACCTGCCCCACTCCTGTGCCATCTCTCCGTGTTCCGGTTCTCTCCAGGGCTGCTTCGGAGCCAGACCCTTTGCAGGGCCGGGATGTACCTGTGGACAGGGGCTGGCAAGGCCTGGGGGCTGCTCCTGTGTGACGGGCCTCCCCTCGACCCCCTTTCCCGTCCCACCCATCTCAACTCTCTGCCTTCGGGTCCCTCTCCTCACCTGTCCCCTCTTGATGCATCTTTCTCTTCACCCTTTGGCAGAAAGCGAGGCCTTGGTGAGGTGGCCTTGGACAGCTCCCTGGGCTCACCCTGGTGTTCCCATCTGGGAAATGGGCGCACAGTGCTGGGGCCCGCAGGGCTTTGGAGGGTCGAGCTATAAATAACACAGTTCAGCTCCTGGCCGGAGGCGGACACCCAGGAGATGGTAGCTGAAGACCTACTGGGCCCCCACTCCCTCCCTCTCTCCCTCCCGTCCTCCAGAGGAGTCGAAGACAGGTGCCCGTCCCCACCCCTCAGACCACCTCATGTCCCTCCCCATCTCTAAAGTGTGTCCCTCGCCAAGTCCCCTGGGGGCCTCTCCGCCTCCCGCTGTTAGGTCTGGGAGCGCACAGGCGAAGGCAGTCTTGCTCCTGTGGGCGGGTGGTCCTCGGTGGCCCGTCTTCCTCCCGGGTGGACAGATCTYGACCAGCCCCGAGGCCCCGCTCCAGGGCAGGTCTGGCCTCTGTGTCCAGGGTCCAGCAGGCACAGGCCTCGGGCAGGGAGAGGTCTTCCCGGGTTCTGCCCCCTGCTCCCTGGAGCTCGGTGTGTCCCCACTTGCTGGAGTGGAGCTCCGTCTTCCTGGAGTGGCTCTGTGCCGGAGGCCACACGGGGGCTGGACTCTCCCTCCATGGCCTCTGTGAACCAGCCCCGGTGAATCACCTCGGCTGTCACTGGGCAATAAAAACCCTGAGCTTCCTGCCACCGGAACGTCTTTTAAAGAAACGCGACTTGTTCACAGTTAATAGGCAGGGGACCGGCCATCCTCCGCCAGTGCCGGCAGAGGGACCTTCCGCCCTGGAGAGCCGGAGCCCTCGGGCACCCGCACCTCGCTCGAGACCCCTGCCTCCCTGTGTCACCGGCCTCCCTGTGTCACCTGCCTCCCTGTGTCACCGGCCTTCCTGTGACATTTGGGGTTCCCTCCACCTGCACACAGCCCCCGGCGCCCAGGCCCACGGAGAGCTGTGCCCCCTCGTCACACCCGAACCGCCGGCGGCAGGTGGCGGTGACGTCCTTGTCCTCTTCCCCCTCACAGACCACGTCTCCATCGGAGGACTGGGGGACAGTTTTTATGAATATTTGATCAAATCCTGGCTGATGTCTGCCAAGACCGACACGGAGGCCAAAGCCATGTACTACGAGGCCCTGGAGGTAAGACGCGCTGGGCTCTTCACGGGTGGGTGGTCATCAGCCGCTGGCTGGCGCAGTCCCCTGAGGGCTCGAGAAGGACAAGCAGTGTCCCCAGTGGCGCCTGGCAGTCTCGAGACTCCTCCCAGACACCCTGAAACAGGCTGCAGTAGCTTGTCCCCCCTCACCTCCCGGCCAGGAAACCCAAGCTCGGGAGGTGAAGTCTTTGTCCAAGGTCTCATAGGAAGTGACCGTCGGTCTGATTCAGAAACCACAGTTCAAAAACCCACGCCTCCTCCATGATGTCTGTGCTTCGGTGAACGTGCCAATGCCCAGGGGCAGCCAGACTGGGGCTGGGAGCTCCCAAGGCAGCTGCCAAAATGAGACCCTCAACTATCTTCCCACCAACCAGAGGTGACAGAGTTAGCATGTCCAAGTTGGGAGCAGCCTCCTGGATGTGTGGAGCCTTCAGTTCTGTGGCTGTTGATGTAGATGGAAACCAGGGCCCAGAGAAAGAAAGGCAATTGCTCAGGGCCACTCAGCACAGAGCTGGCAGAGCTGGCACCACCGTGGGTCTGTCCCCAGGGTGGTGTGGATGAGAGGTGGCAGACTGAGATGAGTCCCTCCAAAGGGAGGCAGAGTGAGCCTGTGAGTCCAAGCTGTTGGGAAGGGGGCTGGGGAACCACAGCCCATGGATAGGTACCTTTGAGCCCAGTTGATGAGAAGACCCTGGACCGGCTCTGGGCCTCGAGTCAGCTGAGCACGTTGGGTCTGTTCTGTCCCCACCTTGATGTGAACGTCCACCTCACTCCCTCGAACCCGGGCTCCTTCTCCCCCGCTGCCCTGCTGAGTGGGTCCCCTGCCCAGCCGCCAGGAGGGCTGGAGAGGMGGGCCCCGTCCTCCCAGAGCCAGGGGTGGGAGGCCCCTCCTCTGCCCCCGGGGTGCCCCCATCCCTGGGCTTCACCTCCCCTCTGCCCCACCCCTAGTCCCACGGGGGTCCAGCGGTCTCCTCTCCCAGGACAGTGTTCAGTGGCCAGTCCCACTTGGGACCCACTGTCAGCTGCTCCCGATGCGCCTTCCCAGCCTCTGCCATGAGCCGGGCTTCTGTCACTTGGGATGCATCTAGAACTTTCCCTGCACGTCCCGCCCAGCTCCCCAGACCCCGTGGGGGCTCCCCGAGAGTCGGCCCCYGGGCGAGCTGGCTCATCCTGAAGCAGGGCCTGGGCAGGGGGCACCCGAGAACTGCGGATGGGCGCTGAGAGGGGAGCTGTGGTGGGAAGGACAGTGGGCGAGTGGACGGACAGACGGACCGTGGGTGGGTGAGAGTGCATGGGTGTGAGGCAGATGGTGGGTGGTGGGGACGAGAGTCGCTGGATTTGTGGGTGGATTGACGTGAGCGGTCAGTGGACAGGGCTGGACGCTCGTCAGACGCCCTTGGCTTGCACGAACCTGGCCAGGGTCAGCAGTGCTTCGAGAAGCTCTGAGATGGCCTCCAAAGCCGAGCCCTTGGGCCTCGAGCTCAGATGTTTCCCCGCCCACTGTCCTGCACTGAGGCCGGCCAGTCTTGGCCGGGAGCGGTCACTGGGACTCAGGCCCACCTCAGCGCCAGCTCCCGCCCTCTGTGCCCTGGGATTTGGTCGAGCTCAGACCCAGGCCCGTGGCTGCGGGAGGAGGGACTTCAGCCTTCCCTGCAGGGTAAGCTGCCATCCAGGAGCAGCCATCCCCTGCCCTCGGGCACACTGCAGTGGAGGCTCCTGTCAGCGAGTGGGAGCTTCCGACAGCTTCCGACAGCGCCTGCTCCAACAGCAGGGAACTGGCCGCTCCCGCACCCCACCCCCCAGGGCTGGCCTCTGGCGAGTTTGGGCCTTGAAGGAGTGTTGGACCTCGTTGGCTCTTGAGGTCACCTGGGGAGCCGTCGGATCCCTTGTCCAGCTCAACCCCTGACCAGTGGTCTCAGAACCTCTAGGGGGTAGGGCCCAGTGACAGCATTTGAAAGCTCCCAGGGGACTCCAGGGTGCAGTCAGGGTGACCGCCGGGAGGTCAGACCAGTGTYCAGCCATGGTGGGCGTTGAAGGTACAGATGGTCCTAACTGGGTTGACCCCTTAGTGTCCCCGGAGCAGGCCTCAGGGGCTGGGAGAGCTGCACCTCGGTCTCTGTGGACGTGGGCTCTGTGTCCTGGGTCTCAGCCCCGTCCTGCAGCCTGCACTTGCCAAGATGCAGGACGGCCAGGCCAGGGGGCCCCTGGAGAGCTCCCCGGGCGTCCACACGAGGCACAGGAAGGAGCGTGGAGACCAGCAGCCTCGGAGCCTGTGACCCTTTAGCCCTCGTGACCCGGACTAGTGTTCCCATTTTAGAGATGAGCAAAGTGAGTCTTCAGAAAAGTGAGAATTTCTCCAAAGTCACCCAACTATTTCTTTTTTTTTTTTTGGTACCAGGGATTGAACCCAGTGGTGCCTAACCACTGAGCCACATCCCCAGCCCTCTTTTGTTTGGAGACAGGGCCTCACTAAGTGGCTGAGGTTCTCCTCGAACTCCTCCTGCCTCAGCCTCCCGAGCCCCTGGGATTACAGGTGTGCACCGCGGCGCCTGGTCCCCACCCGAGTCTTAAACCACAGAGCAGAGACTCAGGCTCAGGCCCAACGCCCGCTCAGCCCTGCGGCACCCTGCAGGGGTCAGGCCTTCCCCGGCAGCTCAGCCGCCTGTGCCAGCCCGTGTCTTCTCGGGGCCTCAGGAGGCCTTGTCCTTTTCTATTGTCACATCGCTCATCTCAACTGCCTCTTCAAAGAGACCTGACCTGTCATTTCCTCTTCGCCTCAGTCACTTAGCCCGGGCGCCCCGGACGGAAATGACCTCGGGGAGGCGAAGGTCAGGCTCTAGCCCCAGCCCAGGCGCCCCGCCTCCCCCCTCCCCCGATGTTTGTGTTCCTACATCCAAAATGCTGACAGCTCGTGACTCTCAGCCAGACTCGGGGGCCCTGGGCCACCCTGATTCCCTTTCCCTGCACAAGACCGAGCCTGGCACAGTGGCACTGCTTCACGGTGGCACTGCTTCACGGTGGCACTGCTTCCCAGCTCTGCCCAGGAGCCGGGCCCGGCCAGAGCAGATGGGCTGGCAGCCCCGTGGCTCTGCAGGTCCCCTCAGCAACCCCCCTTGCAGAGCAGGTGCCCTGCGTGTCACATCACCAGCCTGCCCCATCTGTCACTCAGCAAGGGCCTACAGCCAGGCGCCYGGCCGCAGGCCCCAGCAGCGGAGGGGAGCAAAGCCCCTCCAGGAGCAGACACTGCTTGAGATCTGCGTCTGCCAGGCGCTGGCCGAGGGCCCCGGCCAGTGGCCCCCGCATCACATAGTGCTCAGAGTCCTAGGGGGACAGACACAGAAACCGCAGGTGGGGACAGCACCGGGTACAAAGGTCCCAGCAGGTGAGAGAGTAAGGGGTGCAGGGCCCAGTTAAGTCGGGCATCCCCCGGGCAGGTGGCATTTGGGAGGAAGCCCCAAGGCTGAGTTGAGGTCAGCACCCCCAGGATCAGCGTGTGAGAAGAGGAACAGCCAAGAGCCAGAGACCCCCAGCCCTCTGCACAGCAGGGCACCCGCATCCCCAGTCTCCTCCCGTCGGATTCATTCGAAGGCTGATGCCATTTTAACTCCTGTGCACTTGGTTTCCCGGGGAGGCCTCTGCCCCTGGTGGGCGTCCCCACCCGGGCCAGCGCCATCCGCAGTGTCACTGTTCCCACACCTGGCACGGCACTGACCCCAGGAAATGCTCAGTGGCTCATGAACTATTTGAAGGGGAGAGGACATGAAAGAAGAGAGGCCCGTGTGGCCGGGGTGGGGTGCGGGGAAGGAGGGCAGGAGGCAGGTGGCAGAGGACACGGTGGCCCACGTTTGTGGGGGGAGTCGGTGGCGGGAAGTAGCCCACTCTGCAGGCTTCCTGAGTTCTCGCCAGTCTGGGAGGGAGTGGGCTCTCCTGCCCCGACTGGATACCCAGGAAACCGAGCCACAGAGAGAGCGTCTGACCTGCCAGGGCCACCCAGCGTGGACCTGCTGGAGAAGAAATCCGAGCCCACAGAGTCCGCACCCTGGAACTGGGCCCAAAGCAGGGTGGATCTCAGAGTCCGCTCATGGAGATGCTGCTGGACCCCTGAAGGTTCTGGCCAGTGACACGGGGTGACACAGTTCACTGTTTAGTGCAGACCCTGTCCCCAGAGTGGATTGGAGGCAAGAGTAGGGGCCGAGGCGAGGGCCCCAGGGGTCCCCGGTGGTGACCAGGACCCAGGCCCATCAGGTCTGGCGTCGAGGCTGTGTGAGCTGCCACCTGCAGTACCCCGGTATCCTGGGCTCCTGGGACCGAGGGCAGGAGTGGGGGGTGGGATCACCCGCCATCTGCACCCCAGCATCCGGGCCCTTGCCAACAGCAGCGCCCCCTCAGGGGCCCCTTCCCACCAAAGGAGCAGAGCCCTGGGGTCCTGGTCCTGGTGCGGCCGGGCGACCTGGGACAAGTCACTTCACCCTTGGTAGAGGGCGCCTGGCGGGGAAGGAGGAAGCCTGCAGGAGGGGACCCCGGAGGGCAGCTCCAGTGCCTTTGTGGTCTTTTCTGAGAATTGGATCAAGCACAGGGAACCTCTTCCCGGAGAAGGGAGGTGGCGGAAGTGCTGACGGAGGACAGGGTCACCTTTAAAGATGTCTGAAATGTACAAGATGTAAAGGCCGCACCGGGGACTCCCTGAGGCCCAGTGGCCGCCTGGCTTCCGCCTTCCTCCCCCAGGCCCCAAGCTTGGCTCCGGGTGCCAGGCCCTGCCAGGGACCACAGCCAGCCGGGGTCAGGGGGCCTCTTTGCTGGGGATGGAGAGGCTGCAGCGAGGCCGGCCGGGGTCGGGGGGCCTCTTTGCTGGGGTGGAGAGGCTGCAGCGCGGCCCCCCTGTGCTCACACGCCCTCTCCCCCTTCTCTTACCCACGCCCCTCCCCGCCCAACCCCCTTGCTCCCAGGCCATAGAGATGTACTTGCTGAATGTCTCTCCCGGGGGGCTGACCTACATCGCCGAGTGGCGAGGGGGGATTCTGGACCACAAGATGGGGCACCTGGCCTGCTTCTCGGGGGGCATGATCGCCCTCGGCGCTGAGGATGCCAAGGAAGAAAAGAGGGCCCACTACCAAGAGCTCGCAGCCCAGATCACCAGGACGTGCCACGAGTCCTACGCCCGCTCAGGTAACCCTGCAAGGGGAGGGGGCAGCAGCAGAGACGGAGGCTAGACAGCAGGAAGAACTGGAAAGGGCAGCAGTGAGTGCAGGGAGTGGAAGTGAGGTGGCTTTTGAGTGAGGGCTGAGCAGTCCAGGCACTGAAGTTGAACGTCAGGTGCTGTCTGGCACTTGACCCACAAGGTCACTGAACCTCACAACAAGGTGGGGAGACAGCCACCGTCCCAGGAGGCAGGGGGCAGAGTCCTCCAACCCCGAGGCAGAAACACAGGCGTCCTGTCCCAGGAAGTCCCCACCCTGAGTCCCCTCCTGGGAGCCTGCCTCTGCCCCCGCAGCACCTGCCGGCGGGCTCACCACCCCCGGGTACCCTGGTCACTTAGCCGAGATCACCAGGAAGCTCGAGGGCTCTGGTCAGCACCCACCCACACCTGGCCCCCAGTGCAGACTGGCCAGACGCAGGGTCAGACGCCACGTGGGCAGCAGGAGCCCAGCCCTCGCTCTGCACATGGGGAAACTGAGTCAGCTAAGAGAGGGGAAGAGACTTGGCCAAAGCCACACAGCACACCCGCAGCCGAGCCTGGGTAGGGCCAGGTCTTCTGATGTCCAGCCTGCCCCCCGCGCTGCCTCGCCACACGGCCCCCCTGGCCCCAGGAGACGCCAGCGCCTCCTGGTGGGAGCAGAGGCCCCCAGACCTGCAGTGCAGACCCCCGGCTCAGGGCTTGCCGCCTCAGCTGGGTGGCCCCAGTCCCTTGTCTGTCTGGGGGGGACAGTGGCATGGGTCTCCCAGAGTGTGGCAGGGCCTCCCCGGGCGGCAGGCCTCGGCCCTGGCGCAGGGGCTCCGAGCTCCAGGGGAGGCTGGCAGTGAGGCCCAAAGCCGGTCTCCATTCTCCTGGCGGAGCTCAGCCAGGGCCGTCACCCACAGGTGGCCTGGGGTGATGGAGAGCTGCCCCTTTGTCTGGGACAGTCAGCCCGATCGTAGAGGACGGTCACTCGGCAGAGCCCAGTGCTCCCGCCAGCCTGGCTGCCCGCTGCCCTCACTTTGTTAGCAACGTGGCACAACCACCATGTCGTCCTGGGGGCTCCAGCGAGTCACCGTCTGACAGGTGGGAGGGGCCGGGGCCTAGATCCCTGCTCTTCCAGGAAGCCCCCCAGGAGGGACGTCACCCCCGAGCTCCAGCCCGGCTCCCGAGGAAGCGACCCACGTGGGGTTCCCAACCCAGATGGATGGGGGCGCTCAGCTGGCCTGGCAGGATGTGCAGGCAGCGGAGGGAGGAAGACCTGAGCCACACACCCTAAACTTTGGACCTAGAGAGTTAGATCCGAGGAGGGAGAGAGAGAGAGAGCACAGCCTGGGGGAACAGGGCATCAGACAGATCCCGGGTCACACCCCAGCTCAGCCACCACTTGCTGTGTTGCCTTGGACAAATTACTTAGCCTCTCTGGTCCTCAGTTTCCACATGCACGGGGGGAGTATTATAGCATCTATCTTAGCAAAAAATAGCTTTCTTCAGATTGAGGTAGTGTACGTCCAGCACCAGCACTGCCCTTGAAGTCACAGGTGGGAGCTGTGCTGGCCGTTAAAATTAATCATGGAAAGGAAAACAAACGATCACGGGAGAGCCCAGACCCCACAGCCGGCCTCCTCTACTGCCCCTCTGTCAGTCGGGGTGCTTCCTGGGGGCTTCCTTCCCTCTCCCCCAGACCTGATCTAGGAGGTGTCAAGCGCAGTTTGCTAAGAAAGGGGGTCTTTGACGTCAGGGAGTTGGAGCGCCCGCGAAGCCCCGTGCCCACCCACAGCACTGCCCCGAAGGTGCCCCAGCTGAAACCCTGTCCTGCCTGAGTCTAGCCACGGCCCGCGGACAGCTGGGGTCCCACAATCTGGGACAGAGCGTGGCCCCTTCAGAGCTCCACCTAATCCCTGAAGCTCTGGGGTCTTGCCGGGGCCCCCGAGGCCCGGGGAAGGGGTGCGTCTTCCCGGTGCGGCTGGGTCCCCCCGCGAGGTCTCCCCTGGAGAGCCGGAGGTGCCGTCCCAGCGGGTCCTCCGCTGCCCCCCGCAGACACCAAGCTGGGGCCCGAGGCCTTCTGGTTCAACTCCAACAAGGAGGCGGAGGCCACGCACGAGGGCGAGAGCTACTACATCCTGCGGCCCGAGGTGGTGGAGAGCTACATGTACCTGTGGCGGCTCACGCACGACCCCATCTACCGGGAGTGGGGCTGGGAGGTGGTGACGGTGAGTGGCCCCGGGGACGGCGTCCCACAGACACCGCAGTCGCAGCCAGGGCCCTGGAGGAGGGCCAGGCGGGCTGCCCACCCGCTAGGGGTCCGCGCTGTGGTCCCCASCAGACCTGGGCCCGGAGCGCGCGGGCCCCAGAGCACCCCTGGGCCGGGCGGGTGTGGGGGAGCCCCCTCTGGCCCCGCCAGCTGCTCACCTCGTCCTCTTGCCACCGCCTGCCCGGCCCAGGTGGCCCGGCCACTCCCCGAGCCCGACGTTGGCCCAGCCCCCTCACCTGGCCACCTTCCCCAGGTGGCAGGTGTCCCCGGTAGGTGGAGTTCCAGAAGGTTCCCTGGTGCCTGCTGCGCCCCTGTCCTCCCCGCCAGCCCCTGCCCACCCTCAGGCTGCGGCCACGTAGCTCTGGCCCAGAGGGGCCCCGGGGGGGGGGGCCGAGTCCACTCCCCAGACCCGGGCCTGCTGGCTCCGTCCACTTGGCCTTCGCCCCCACGAAGGCAGGGGTCCGGCTGTCCCGAGGCCCGTCCCCTCCCGCTAAGCGGCGCCCCCCGCAGGCGCTGGAGCGGTACTGCCGGACCCAGGCGGGCTTCTCGGGGATCCACAACGTCTACAGCACGGCCCCCCGCCACGACAACAAGCAGCAGAGCTTCTTCCTGGCCGAGACGCTCAAGTGAGTGGGCCCTCGGGGCGGGCAGCCAGGCTCCCTGTCACCGGGGGTCCACGGGGCGGGGGGACGGCCCCAGAGCCGGGCCAGGGGGCGCCAGGGCCCCGCAGTCCCTCCCCTCAGGGAGACGGAGCCCAAGTCCAGCCCCAGAATCCACCCTGGACACTGGAGGCCACGTCAGCTCTCCACCGCTCCTGGTCCCCAGTTCTCTGAGACTCCGTCCTGTCAAACAGGACCGTGGTGACGTGCTCCAGGTCCCCAGGYGGGACAGTGCTCACGCGCCTTCCCTCCTGCCCTGCAGCTAGGGTCCTGGAGTCCCTGCTGTGCTCCCTGAGGTGCCCTGAGTGTGGAGGGGCCCAGGCAAGAGTTTGGACAGGTGCAGGTGGGCCCAGTGGCACCCCACCTGTCACCCCAGCAACTCAGGAGGCTGAGGCAGGAGGATCACAAGTTTGAGGCCAGCCTCAGCAACTTAGCAAAACCCTAAGTTAAACAAAAAGGGCTGGGGATGTGGCTCAGTGGTAAAGCAACCCTGGGTTCAGTCCCCCCTCCCAAAAAGAGAAAAGAAGGGTCCAGACAGCAGCACACTCCCGCCCCGTGTCAAGCTGTGAGCCAGCCTCAAGGGTCCTGACGGGGCTGGCACCCAGGGCCAGGCAGGCAAGCTGACTGGGGACCCAGCCAGGTGTAAACCAGGTCCCTTGGATCCCAAACCTGGGGGCTTTCCTCGGCGTCCAGTGTCCTTCCTGCCCTCGGCCCMAGGCCCGTCCCCAGCCTGACTGGCTCTTCTCGCTCCCTGCCCTGGGCGCAGATACCTCTATCTCCTGTTCTCCGAGGACGACACGCTGTCCCTGGAAGACTGGGTGTTCAACACYGAGGCCCACCCGCTGCCCGTGAACCACTCGGACAGCTCCGGCAGCACCCGGCGCCCATACTGACCGTCCCCACCGCTCTGGGCGCTCAGCGATGCCTGGCCTCTCGGGGACCCAGGGGACCCGGGACTGCTCCCCCAGGGACGGGGAACGCCGGCCCAGCCCCGGGCAGACCCTGGACAGACGACGAGTCAGACTGGCCACTACTTTTCCTCTGTGAGGACACAGGACCTGGAGTCTCAGCGCTGTCACTAGGGCCGCAGTCACACCGATGTGACCGAGGCCAGACATTCCTTTCTACGGAGAATTTCTACGAAACCCACCCCCCGCCATCGGGGCCCAGGACGGGCGTCGGCACTCTGACCCCGAGTGTCCATTCGCTTCCTTTCGTTTGGGGGTTTTCTTGCTTGTTTTTTTGTTTTGTTTTGTTTTTGCTTAATTTGCTTTTTCTTGACACTCGCGCCTCTTACGATGATGAATATCATTTTCAAAAACCCCGCGCTTGCTCCACGGAGCCCTCCCGATCGGGGACGCGGTGGGCAGCCCCATGGGGTCCCGACCCTCCTCTCATCCCACCGCCTGCTGCCCAGCGCTCACCTGGTCGACCACGGGTCCTTCACCTGAGGGTTTTGTGGAGGGGCTCCCTTTGATTTGGGCCTCAGTGTTACAGATCACTAGTGCCACTTCCATTATTGTCATGGAAACCTGTGAACTAGAATAAAGGAGTTGATTGAATAAGAAATAAGATTGGGCTCATTGCACACCAGTGAYGCTGGGGGAAGTGCCACCACGTTCTCATCCGCAGTGGATCCAAGGTCTGATTTAGTGAACGATTTCGACTTGTATTGCTTTCCCTTAAATGGGTCTGAATACATTCAGGGAGCGCGAGGCGAGGCCGACCCTGCCGTTAAAGTTGGGGCTTTAGACTCCGGTTGAGGGTTGGAGGAAGCCCAGAAAGGAGCAGCAACTTGCCTGAGGTCACACAGCCACTAAAAGGGCAGAGGTAGTTTCCTGGCCACCCTGGGCCTCTGTTCATGGACTGTCATTCGGCAGTTGCTGGCCTAGAGAACAGGGACACGGCCAAGAGCAGGACAGTCATAAGCCGGCAGTCAAGGAGGCGGATCGTAAAGGCAACCTTGAGCTGGGTGAGGGGCCTGCAGGTGTAGGCACAGGAGACRGGGTGGGCGGAGCCAGCCGTGGCCAGGACCACTCTTAGGGGCCTAGGGGTCCCCTAGGACAGATGACTTTCCAACCAAGACCTCAAGATGAGTAGGTGCAGCCATAAGAGTATCCAGCACCCCGAAAGCCCAGACCCCCTTCCTGCCCTCCCGGTGCCCACCACTGCCCCCAGGAGGCCCTGAGACCATGGGCAGGACCAGGAGCTCGTCCCCACACTGAAGCGAGTCTCGCCCACAACCTGTCCCAGGCTGGAGCCACAGGATGATGCTGAGCCCCTCCCCATGGCTCTGTTCTTTTCCTTTGTTCTGGGGACTCAGCCCCCCAGAATCCTCTTGAGCAGAGCTGTGGGGGCACAGTCCCCACGGCAGGAACCCGGGGGGCCTCGGGGAAATAAGTCGCTGCAGTCTCTCTAGGCCCACTGCAGGTACTAAAAAGCAAAACAAGGAAACCCACTGCACAAACCCTGTAGAAAGGTCAGGATATCAAGATAATCAGGAAGCAAAAACCACTCGCCATCCTACTCTCCAGAATGAATACTGTTATATTTTCCTCTAGATCTTTTTCTACGAATATATAGAATATATATTTTGCAAACATGGTATCATCCTATGCATACTGTTTTCTTATAATCTGCTTTTGCACTTAACGATACAATGTGAACCTCTTTCCGTGTCAACAAATATACATTTATGTCATCACTGTGCCTGGTTGCGTAGTATTCCGTTTGTGTGCCGTATCATACTTCGTTGGTCTAAGCCCTGTTGCTGAGCTTTTGGGTTTGTGTTAGTTTGGGGTCTTAGTTACAAATAATAGAAACCAATTCTCTCTAACTTTAAAAAAAAATTATGTATTGAAATGCCGTGGGGTGACTCTTGGAATCTCAGGAAAGAGAAGAGCCAGACCTCAAGAAAGACCAGAAAGGTTTTAGTTGCCAGGAATCCTGTAAGAATGAGGGAGCGCCCTCCCCAGACACCATCAGGATGGATGAATCCAAAGTCTCCAGGTCCTCCCGTGTCTCCTGTCCAGCTGGCCCCACCTGGGCCATGAGCCTGCCCCTAGTCAAGGGCAGGGCCAGCATCTTGATTGACAGATCCACCAAGATCCCGTGCCATGGGCAACGGACTGTTCCCTGGAGGGAAACCAGATTTTGTTACCAAAATAAGGGCCCTGCGTGCTGGAGAGGCGGGAGCAGGGGCCTGATGCAGGCTGTTTTGATTTTTCAGGGTAAAGGGAGCTTTGAAGAAGGCGCAGACCTTCTCTGGCTACCCTTGACCGATTGTTTCCAGAGTGTCCTCTCCCACAGTGTCTCTCCTCTCAAAGCGGCTTTGCGGTGCCCCAGCCCCAGGCTCCCTGCTGGGCCCGTGTCACTGTCCCCTCCACACTCCCCGGAATCCTGTTCTCTGCTTTATTGCTGAGAGCAACTTGTAACAATGAATATTTTAAAGTCCATCCTCCAGGAGGGAGGGCTCTTGCTGGGGGAGAAATAGCCGTTTGGCAATTTATCTTGGTTCCAGGGATGAAGATAAGGAAGACCAGGTGGACTGGGAAGGGGGGGCGTGGGGGGTGAGTCAGCCTCCCTGGAGCCGGGGGCTCCTCCAGCACAGCCTGACCCAGCCTTCCCCAGCAACACCCCCTGCGGGGCCAGCAGGCGGCCAGTTCTCAGCCTCTTGGCCCGGGCTGAAGCTGGAACTTCCTTTAGCACCTGTTTTCTTCATCCGTGGGCTTGAGGCTGGTTCCTTCCCAGACCCTGAGCCCTGCAGAGCGTCACACCTCGGGTGGGGTGGGGGATGCACAGCCCTGTTCCAGCAGCCTGTGTTTAAATGATCCTGTGTTTGATCGTCCAGCCAAATACACTGGGAAGAAAAGCAAACTTGGGAAATCTGACTTAAAAGGCAGCCTTCTGCCGGGCGTGGTGGCACGCACCTGTAATCCCCGGACTGGGGAGGCTGAGGCAGGAGGATTGCAAGTTTGAGGCCAGCCTCAGCAGCTTCATCAGATCTGGTCTCAAAATAAGACCCAAGGGCCGGGGATGTGGCTCCGCACCCCTGGGTTCAATCCCCAGCACCTAAATAATTAAATAAAGGGAGCATCCCTGAGGTCAGGATGTGATTCTGCTTCTTTGCTCCAGGGAGGTGACCCACTGTGACTGAGAGAGGGCTGGAGGTGGAGAGTGGGCAGGTCTCCCAGCTTCCCCCCACCACCCCGGGGTCTGTCCTTGGAAGTCTGTAGTTGCCGTGTCGCTGAGCTGTCCACCATCTGTGATGAAGGCTGACTCACCTGCTGTGGGGGGTCAGCAGGGGCTAAGGCTGCTTCTCGAATCTGAAAATCTCTGTTTGGTTTCCTGTATTCGGAGCAGGATTTCGCCCCCGCTCGGCCTGTCTCTTCAGTCGGAGCTTCTCCAACCTGAACGTGCCCGTGCATCGCCTGGGACCTTGCTAAAGGGCAGCTTCCCATTCAGGGGSCCTGGCGCGAAGACGGAGCCGCTTCTCTAACAGGCTCCCAGGAGGTGCCAGGGTCCTGGGGCCACCCGGAGCAGCGAGGCCTCGGGTAGCAGCCACTCGTTTGCCACCGACCTTTTATTGGTGTCCCTGGAGCTGAAACTGCTCCAGAGGCTCAGGCATTGGGGTGGCATCTACAGGGACCTCGGCTGCAGAGGCTCCGACCTCAAACAGCTGTGCCTGTCACCTGTGCCCGGGCCCCCTCCCCCAGGACAGTCAGGACGAGACAGGATCAGGCAGCTGGTGGCTGGGAACGATGCTTTCTGCGCACCCCGCCATCTGCGTGGGCGGGTCCTGAGCATTTCAAATGTGGTCAGTGCACGTGAGGAGCTCAGTTTTTAAATTTTATTTCATTTTAATTAAATTTAAATAGCCATATGTGGTACTGGCTCAGAACTGGAATTTAGGAGGTCAGTACCCAGCTCACGCCCCACCGGACCCTCTGCCACCTGCATGTTACAAAGTAATCTTGCCACAAAACATACTGTTTGGAGACTCAAGGGTCCCCTGAAACATACYTGGGTATTTTTACACTCAGTTCCGAGTCTCTGTCTCCTGCACAAGCCCTGGTCGCTGTTGGGCTCTCTCACCTGTGGTTTATCTTCAGAGGTCAGGTCTGGGAGGCAGAGGAAAGAGGCCCCCCTGGGCTGGAACCAGGTGGAGCAGCATTCAACTCTGCTCTGACCTTTCCCTGGGCTGTGTGGCCTTGGGCAAGCTCCTTAACCCCGTCTGTTTCCAAGGTTAATTGAGTCCCCGCCCCGGGTGGGAACTCCATCCCTGGAAGCCTYGCCGTCATGAACTTCTTGGTAAACTGAAAAACCTCGCTGTAAACGCGAGGCAAACGCTGCTGTCAGAAAATCTCCTTTTTAAACAAAACGCTCAGAAACGACATCAAGCGGGCCSGGGAGACCGCCCCAGCTCTCAGAGCAATAAATCGGAGCGTGTTCGGCTTCTCGCACTGAGCAGGCCTGTTGTCGGGAGCCCTGCGTCTCCGGAAACTGGGAAACTGGGATGGAGATGGGTCCACCGTCCTGAGGCTGCGGGGGGCTGTGGGCAATGCCCCTCGGGGCAGGGGCCAGGGCGGGAGCAAGGGGCCAGGACCTGGCCACGGAGCGGCCTGGAGGCGCTCTGCTGGGGGGGTCAGGGGTCCATTTCGTCTTCCCCCTTCCTCCCAGGACAGTGAGGCCCCAGACGGTTTGCTCTGATGAACAGCTGTCGGGCCTCTGGTGGCCTCCAGGGAAGTCCCCTGCCTCCTCCCTGCCACGGCCACACCCCTCGTCTCCCGTCCCTGGCAGAAGTGAGCCCGAGTCCAGGTCCCCTCACCCCACCCCTGACATGGGCTGTTCCAAGTAAGAATCAAAAGTCTCCAGTGTCCCCTTGGCTTCAAAGGCTCCCTGGGACAGCAGGCACGTGACCTCGTGACCTCGGCAACAGTGTAACTCGGGTTCCTTCCAGAAGCCCTCGGTGCCCCGGAAC